GAAAACTGAGGGATATGTTGGTTAAATAATGTATTCAGAAAACTCAGAGAGGCATGGCTTAACTGGGATCCAAATACAGTTCTGGTTCTGGGACCCAAGCCTTTAGCCATTATGTATGCCTTACTACCTCTCTGCCATTACACACACACACACACACACACACACACACACACACACAAAATGCATACTCTCATTGTGTGGCTAAGTGTTTGTATATTTTACTTCCTGTCTCAATTTTTTTTCCTGTTGGCACAAACTCTATTGTGGATTTTAGTGAATTGCTTTGGAACTCTATATTCTCTCTCTCTCTCAGTTAAGCCTCACCGGAGGATATTTTTCCATTGATTTTTTTTAAGAGAGAGTGAAAGGGAGGGGGAGACAGAGAGAAATATCAGTATGAGAGAGACACATCGATTGGTTGCCACTTGCACACACCCTGACAAGGGCCTGGGACCCAGCCTGCAACAGAGGTACATGCCCTTGACTGGAATCAAACCTGGGACCTTTCAGTCCACAGGTTGAAGCTCTATCCACTGAGCCAAATGGCTAGGGTAGAGTTCTATATTCTTTATCCCCATCTTTCTTATCCTGGTAGACTTCTTATACAGGACATTTGAAACTGTTCCTCTTTCATTTTTTTAAAAAAACAGTCACTGCAACTTACTTAGAGATGCACTGGACTTATCTCCTTCAAGGTTGTTCTCACAGAAACAGAAAATACATACGAACATTTTATTTTTCTGATGCCTTTTATTTATAGATTCTGTTACAGTGTGTCTCAAATATAACTACAATTTAATTGATGACAAACTCAAACTCAAATATGAGCATTCATAAATGTATAAAATTTGTAAAGACTTCTATGTAAACAGCATATTATATTCATGGCTATTCATTTATTTTTGTGAAGCAATTCTTGTTTTCTTCAAAAACATAACATAATAAACCAGAGCTATTTAAATAGATTGGTGGCCTCTATACATACGTCCTAAACCCAAGCCAATTACTTGGCCATACTAACTTAGCTGGCCCTCGTTTCATTATGTACTTTCATTAACATTTTCCAAAATTTCTATTTAGAACTGCTTTATTTACATAAGCATTTTATTTTAACTCTTTGTAATAAAGCTATTAAAAATTCTATAAAATCATGATGGACATTTTGGGTTGAGATTTAATAACCAGCATTTAAGAATTAGCCCACAAGTCACTTATGTCTTTTGTAAACGATGTAACAATCAAAAAGATAAAATGAGATTCTCCCACTTTCATCCAAATTTATATGTATAGATTTGTGTTCAAATATGTTTGCTTCCATTTTATTCTCACTTAAATTTTACAGTGTAACTGCCATTCTACATCATTAGGTGAAATGAGTTCAGTGATTGTGTAATTTTAATATTAGTATGACAATGCCTTGGGGGAGTGATATTTCATAATCAGAGCCAAACAGTAACCTACATGAAAAGTGTACTTTTTCTTCAAGTTTACACTGTACTGAATGATATCTTACTTTCAAATATTGTTCTTAATTGATAAAAAGTCAAAACTAGACATTCCTGGGAAAACATATATATGTATAAAAAACAAGTATTTTATATTTTTTAAAAATTATAGTTCAGCATGAAATAGGAGAAAGAGCAACCTTATTTTTTGGAATGCTCAGAAGAAACTGTGTTGAGGAATCAGTTGCCAATATTTTTTCTTTTACATAAAAATCAAGACATGTAAAAACATTGAGAGTAAATCCCACATAAACCTGCCCACCACACATCTTTTTATACTATAGTCTATAAATATGCAAAATGCAGTTACATTTATATGTGTTTAAAATAATAAGGGTAGACTTACTTCAAATTTAAGGTGATATTAATTTATTAATTTAATGTATTACAAATCTTACAAATATAACATATTTTGTATGGTTCCCTAATTAAATTGTCAAAGTGTATTTTTAATAGGCTTAGCAGGTATGTGATGCAATGCTCTACAGAATCTAGGAAAACACTGCATGGTATCTTTCATATTAAATTGAAAAGTGGCTCAAATAATCAAAGATGAATGATTGAACATAGATGTAAAGAATCTTTGGCCCTAGATTTAATTTCATATGTACCTTATGACAAATGTCTACAAGTGATAATCTCCATCATGGGCATTATAAAATACATCACAATTAAAAAATTTTCTAGATAGGAAGTTCTGTGGAAATGTTTGTTTCTATCTGACTTTCCCCTATCTATGTTTGTCTTTCCTTTCTGTCTCTCATTCTCTACCCATAACTCTTCATCTCTATAGGTAAGTTTAAAAATCCTTTATTTTTAACTAGCCATAACAACAAAATATATGTTTAAGTACTGATTACAGAAATATAATTCATGTTCCCTTTTAATTTAAGAAAGCATGAAGTATCTTCTAGAATGAAACTCGCACAAAATCTAAATAAAACTACTTTCTCCTCACATAACTCAATTTTTAAAACTGTAAAACTCGGTAGGAGAAAGACCTCATATTCCTGAAATGAAATGATGAAAAACTTCATCATGGCCATTGTTTTCAAGCTACTATTAACAAGAATTTCTTAAAAGTTAGATTTATAACCCTTGGTAAGAAGACACCAGCTAAAGTAAAATGAATTATGTGCTCAGTAAGTTATAAACTCAGGGTACTTTATTGATTGATGCATAATATACCTCATAGTCATGGAATTTTAAGTGCAAAGTGACATCCTCCTCATTTTCAGATGAAAGATTAGCCGTCTAAAAGGATTGCTTGTACAAATTAGGAAAGTAAATTAAGTGACAAGAAAGCAAGTTGGCAAGAATCCCAGTCAAATGCTTTTTTGTTCATTCTAAAGACAATTTTGGGTTGAAAGTTTGTCTTATATTATGACTTCAAAGTTTGCCACACACATTTAGGATGGTATAGAGGTGATGGAGTAAATACTGTGCTCCAGTCATGTACAATGGTATTAAATAGTGATCTGCATATAAGGAAGCACGTCATTGAAGGGAAATAACAATTTTGCTTAGTGCTTAAGAATGACTAAATAATAGTGCATGAGACAGCAGACAAAAATGTGACAAGAAAGATGAAAAGTTGTGTCATTATTGGTATTTTTGGGCAGCATAGTGTAGTGTGAGATTATATAAGTAATAGTAAATAAAGCTTTCTTCCATTGACTCTTTTTTCAATTATCTTTATTTTTTTTTCTTTCGAGGGATGTGATATGTAGTACTTGGAATAATTTTTCATGTTCTTTGGTTGTATGAACTAAGAAGGATATAAAAAAGACAGGCTATAAAGCACAATACTCTAAAGGTAAATCTTAATTCTGGTTGTTACATGAGTCAAGATAAATGAAAAGTATTTGTTGAAATGGATAGCCTACACATTTTTAATTCCATAACATTTTGTAGGTACATATAAATTGGTTCTGATGCAATACAGAATAAATTTAAGCACCTCAAAATATAGAATGACCTCTGTACATGGATAAAAGTGTTTTGTTCCCTAACACCAACATGTTTTAACTAAACACTCATTACTAATGTCCATTCCTTCTATCAGGATATTTCATGGCAGAGCCAAGACAAAATATTTTTGTAGATGTCCAAATAGAGATATGTGCATGTGTGTGTATGTGTGTGTGTGTGTGTGTGTGTGTGTGTGTGTTTGTATTTGCGTGGGAAACATGAATGTTTACAATCTTGTGAAAAGATGACAAGACAGGTGTGAACATTTCCTACATGGTCTTGTGATTTATTAAAAGCAAATAAAATTAAATTACCTTTGCCTGCTGTAATCAATAATCCCTATAGAGTTACCCTACAATTCTTACAGAATCATTTACCAGTGCAAAAATAGCCATTTGCTAATGCTGCCCACTTATCTTAAGGAATCAGAGCTAGTGACTGCACTGACTTTGAGAATATTTTGGTAAAAAGTTTTGGCATAGACCTCCTTAAAAGAGTCTTATTGACACAAATAAATCACCTTCACAGGCTGTAAACAGTGTATTAAATGTGAAGCTCTATTTTTTGCTTTCCTTGCCATCTTTTCCTTTGTCTTCCTTTTCTATTTTGTCTTTTTCATATTTCTCTTTGTCTGGTTTTGTTACACTGTCATAGGAAGGTGGAGAGACGGTAGATGGGGTTGCATCTGGTTTTTCTGGACTTGAGTTCTCATTAACTTTATCAAAAACAGTATCTTCTTTACAGGGCAAATCATCATCTCTGTCTCCATCTTTTATGTATATACTTGATATATTTTTGACATTTTGCCTTAAGCGGTGACGTCTGTAAGCACGCTGAATGACAGTAGCAGACACATCCTCTTGTTTTCGTTTGAGTGTAGTTGTGATGGGTTCATAGGACACTTTAGAAGGATTTGCTGACATGAACCTTTCTTCCATCTGTGAACGAAGAGAGTCCATCCCTCCACCTTCACCCAAAACACGTTTTGTAAAAGCAAATAAGATGTCAAGACAATGAATCCGGTCACCATTGACCATGGGCAGATCCATGGCAATGAGCTGGACTTTGTTTGGTTTTGCTATGAGCAGAGGAGGATCAAGGGCAGCTGCAAAGTCAGAGAGTTTTCTATATTCTATAAACTGGGTAGCATCAGGATCAAACTTCTCCCAAACCTTGTAGAACATCTCAAAGTCATCTTCACTAAGAGGTTCAGTACTTTCTTCAGTAGCAACACTGAAGTTCTCTAGGATGACAGCGATGTACATGTTCACCACAACCAGAAAGGATATGATGATGTAGCTAACAAAATAGAATATCCCAACAGATGGGCTGCCACAGTCTCCTTCAACTGAACTTCCTGGATGAACTTTTTTAGGGTCACAGTCTGGGGGTCCACTATTAAGAATAGGTGCTAGCAACCCATCCCAGCCAGCAGAGGTGGTAATCTGGAACAGGCAGATCATGCTGTTGCCAAAGGTTTCAAAGTTGAACATGTCATTAATTCCAGCTTCCTTTTTAACATAGGCAAAGCTGGACATGCCAAAGATGGCATAGATGAACATGACCAGGAAGAGCAGGAGGCCGATGTTAAACAACGCAGGGAGGGACATCATCAGAGCAAAGAGCAGCGTGCGGATCCCCTTCGCCCCTTTGATCAGACGTAGGATTCGGCCAATCCTGGCAAGGCGGATCACTCGGAACAGGGTAGGAGACACAAAATATTTTTCTATCAGCTCTGCCAGAAACATGCCTGATGAGGAGGGAAAACATAAAAAGAAAATATTTACATTTCCATGCTATAGAAAATCTAGACTCTAAATAGCTTTATCTGCTAGTGTATCTCTTACAATTTCAGGATTGTCATTTTATTAAAAAAAATTTCATAGCAATTAGAGTATTGAACAATGCCATATGAAAATGATTAGACTTACTACAGTAACATTTTCCCTCCTTCACTAAGTTTATGGGCATTGAAATTTTTCTCTCCACAATAATTTTCTTAATTATAAGAATAATGCCCACTATGTAGAAAATTCAAGCAATACAGTAAATGCTAAAAAGGAAATGTAAATCACCTGAAACATCACCAACACAACTATTGTTAATATTTTGTTGAGTATCACTCTACAGTTTTCTATGCGAGCACACACATACATACACACATGAATGCAATCATGTTTCATATAAGCATTTTTTTGGTAATCTATTTTAGTCACTTCATGTCATGAAAATATTTCCATACACATGACAAATAAGTAATTTCTTTTTCTTATTGTTTAAAGTATTACATATGTCTCCTTTTACTTCCATCGACCACTCCCCGGCCTCTCCCACCCCCAGGACATGCCCCCACCTCCCCAGTGTCCATGACTATTGCTTATGCTTATATGCAACATACAAGTCCTTTGGTTGATCTCTTACCACTCCACCCCCTCTGCCTTCCCTCTGAGGTTTGACAGTCTGTTCTATGCTTCTCTTAAGTAATTTGTTATAGTTGTAAAATGCTTTGTCAAAATAACCACATAGTGAAAAATTTTATGTTGTTTCCAATTTATGATATAATCAATCCATTCCTAGAATTTATAATTCAAAAATAAATGCAATCCTAAAATACTGGGCAGGACATGTACAGGTAATGAATGAGCAGAAGAATATAAAAATAGTGATGATAATGAAAAGGGAAGGAAGTATAAAATCATGTACTGACATTCATAGACATGACTGGGGTTGGCTGAGAAATGATCATGTTTTGTAGACTTGCCAAGTATAAAGCCATAAGAAATGAAGATGATATTTCTTGAGACCTTAACTTTACTTTGACTTCAGGAAGAATTTTCATGAAGAGTCACCAATAATCTGGCTATTAACATTATCATTCATCAAAGGGCAGCTTTCATATATGCTAAAACTGGAAATGATTTCAGACTCTGCATTGGTCTTCTCAGATATACCTACATATAGAAGCAATTGCTACCATTGTGAAGGGTAATCTTGGAAATCAAATACTGGATCAAGTGGTATTATGTGCTCCCAACAAATAGAAAACTTGAGGCTTTGAGGCCTGCAGTGAGAACTCAGAAATTCTGACACGAAGGTGTTGCTTTGTAAAGTGTTTTTTTTTTTTTTTTTAAGATTCCTTCATTCTTTCATTTAACTTACTCAAAAGTAAATTTATATTCAAGAATTCAGAACCTGCTCTGAGCATGTGTGAGTTTAGTTTCATTCAATATAAAAATCTGGTTAATAAATGGACTTACCTACAATGGAGATAATCACAATCACAAAATCAAAAATGTTCCATCCTACGGTGAAGTAGTAGTGTCTGAGGGAGATCAGTTTCAGCACACATTCTCCAGTAAAGAGGATAATGAAAACTACATTTATCCAATAGAGGACATTAGTCATGTATGGGCTTTGTCCCTCTTTTTCTACCATCATGGTTACCATGTTGAGGCAGATAAGAACCATAATGCTGATATCAAAAGCTTGGTTTGTTACTAGGTCAAATATACATCCTTGGAATTTGTTCTGCAAATAAACAAGAATAAAATGGAATATAGAGTAAATTTAGCAAGTAGTATCCACTAATCATTACATTAGTAAAACATTTAAAAAAATATATATCAGTCTTCAAAACTTGCATAAATTATCCCTGGTCATAGGTTTGTGCTTTCTACAAGAAATATTATTAATGGGTTAAATCAAAGTCAGAGTAAATCAAACATTTTGTTGTTGTCTTTCAATATATCAGACTGGTAATTCAGTTAGCCTTGTATACTTACATTGACTGTTAAGTGTATCCACCCTAGTATGCTATGTTCAATCTAAAGTACATTCATTTTCATATTCTACAGGCCACTGCAGGAATAAGTTGTGTAGCTATGATAAAAGTAAATGCACATGTAATTATTTTCCATTTTTATAGAAAAATTTAAAAATAAGAAGGAATATTAAGATACAGTGCTTAGCCCTCTCACATCTCAGCTCAGCCTCTAGAAACCAACTACCTAGGTTCAATTCTCAAACTCTAGCCCTCCCTAATTGTTTGGCCTCCTCTGAGCCTGTTTCGGACTCCATAAAATGAGATAATAATAATTTCTACCTCATAAGAGTTATTGTAAGAATTAAATGAGTTAAAATATGTAGAGTTCTTAGAACAGTGCCTAGCTCAGCCACGGGCAAACTACGGCCCGCGGGCCAGATCCAGCCCGTTTGAAATGAATAAAACTAAAAAAAAAAAAAAAAAGACCGTACCCTTTTATGTAATGATGTTTACTTTGAATTTATATTAGTTCACACAAACACTCCATCCATGCTTTTGTTCCGGCCCTCCAGTCCAGTTTAAGAACCCATTGTGGCCCTCGAGGCAAAAAGTTTGCCCACCCCTGGTAGCTCATAGTAAGAGCTACAGAATTATTACTGCTATTTGGAAACTAAAATATGGACTGGGAGATGTGGAGCTGGCTAACGTAATAATAATAATAATAATAATAATAATAATAATATATTTGTTAAGCACTCAAAAAAAGATACAGTGCTTAAAATACATATATTAAATTTTATAAGGACTTTTGTTCCTAATAGCAATTTTGTTCCAATTTTTTTCAAAATTAATGCTAAACATTTATGCTTAAGACAAAGTTGTATATTAAAGTTGAATTGAAAATAATTTGAAAATTTACATGCTAAAGATATATATATATATATATATATATAGAGAGAGAGAGAGAGAGAGAGAGAGAGAGAGAGAGAGAGAGTCTTTACCCCTGGACGAGGTATTGGCTTTTGTGGTTTCTTAGATCCCAACTTTTTCATTGCATTATAATATTTCTTCTGTTCTTCTGTCATAAAGATGTCTTGACCTCCAAGGTAAAAAAAAAAAAAAAAAAGGAATCTAGTTAAAACCAGAATCACTGTCTAAATTTTTCCTCAGATTATTAAGACAGGTTGAAAATGTATTAATATAGAAATGAAATGCATTTTATTATGTGCAATGTAGCTATACATAAAAACTGTCTTAAAGGATTACCTATGTGTAGGCACATGACTCTCCATACTTAATATAATGTACATATATAAAGTATATGTATTACATGTAATAATTATTTAGTTCTGAAATCCTTACTTAACTTGTAGGATCCTGAAGTTAAAGATGATCTGGTTATGATTTCTCTTTAGTTTTTTGGGGTTAGGGAATATTCAGCTTCCTATTATATTGTATCTTAAAAGATTTATCAAATGCCTATATAATAACCAGACTCCCCTTTCTGTCTTAGAGTGTTCTAATTCACCTTTCCCCTCTAGTTGATATGCAGTCTTTATGTAATTTTAGCATTCATCTGATCTATTGACAGTAGGCATGAGAGAGAGCCTTCATACCAATGTCAAGAGAAGCCTAGATCCTTTATTGCATACTGATGGGGGCTGATTACCATAGCATATCAAGAATTTACCAAGAAAAGCTATGAAAACACTGGGAAGAGAATTCTGATTTAGAAGAAAAAGTCAAAGTACAGATTTTATCTTTTTTTGATGATTCATACCCTAGTTGGCAACATAAGGAAGGATGGGAGAAAACTAAGGGGAGATTATAAAATGTTCCAATAGTTAAAACAGAAATCTCCCAGGATGCCTCACTAGCAATATTCAATACATCTTCATTTCTAATACATGTATCACATCTTCTGCTATAATATAAACTTGAGCCCAGGAGCATAACTTATGTTGTTTTTCCTCAAGCACCAGCCCTAGACATACCACACAGAACAGTGGCTCAGAACCGAAGAAAGTAACATTTGTGAAATGTGTTTTCATTAATAATTAGTGCATTACTTTTTCTTAATTATCCAATCCTCTACAGAGAACATTGAAAAAAACAGAATAGTTGTCATATTGTTTAAAAACAGTTCTGACGTAGAAGATCAGTTTCTGTGCAGAGATAAATGAGATTAAGTATGTCTATAACTATACACTGGCCAATTGTTTAAAAAAATAAATGAAGTTCTAATGAAGATAATTACTAATTGATATAAAATTAAATTTCACACTATATTTTTTAGAAAAATAATTTTCCTATTTTTCAGTGCAATGAAAGAAACTTAAAATACTTATCTTTTTTTTCTGTTGGTTGAAATTATCTATGATGACACCAATGAACAAGTTCAAAGTGAAGAATGACCCAAAGATGATAAAGATGACAAAATAAATATACATGTAGAGGTTGTATTCATATATGGGTTGCTTGTCAACCTACAAAAAATTAGCAGTAATTAACAACAGTTAGTATGTTGACAATACATTCATCACTTTCCTTTTTCACATGGTTTCATAAGGTAATCCAAACAATGCTATTCTAGTGAATTAGCTTTTTCAGAAGCCATAATATTAGTGAAGTTCAACAAAATCATTCTTAAAAAATTTTCCAACATTAAGTATTTATTACATGCTCACTAAATACATGAATATAACCTTCAAATAATTACAAAGGGCTTAATCATATAGAGTACTTTTCTCACATTGGTAGGACAATTTATTTATTTATTTATTTATTTTAAAATATATTTTGTTGATTTTTTACAGAGAGGAAGGGAGAGAGATAGAGAGTCAGAAACATCGATGAGAGA